TATATACTACACCATTTTTATTAATAAATTGCTAGAAAGCCTCTGGTTTACCCAGGTGAGATATACAGGTGATTTTCCGTTCGTTGTGAAATTTCGCGTATTGCTCGAAAAGCGCGGACCGAACTTCTGAGGCAAAAAATCGAACGATTTTATTTTCAAATTGAATTTATATCTTTTATTATAGCTCTGCGTCCAAACGGCGTTCCTTGAGAGGGAAATAATGAAAATACAATTGAATACGTCATCGAAATTAACCATCATCAAAAGTGTATAGCACATGCGAGGAAATACGCCAAAAATCTCACGCGATGTTTTGACGTCACTCCGACGCTATGTCTTTTGTTTGTTCAGTTGTTACGTTCTATTTGACACAGGGGTCACACAGTGGACGGAAAATGGTATAATGTCATCGTACTGATGAACACTTGAACTTGCAACAAATTAACGGTTTTCATGTTGCAAAATCGATTGGTTCAGAATATGATTGATGACGTTGTTTCGATGTAGGTAACAGACAAATTAAAACATATTAAATTAATAGTAAAAATAAAATAGACAGTAATTTGATCTTTGAAATGCATGATGAAAAACGAGAAGGAATTCACGGGACAATGCAGCCTTTTAGTTTAATTTGTTGACAATATATCCCCAGTTCGTTCGTTTTAGTTCAATTGTCAACTGTTGAGTATTAACACGTCCGATCCCATGTCAATTGCCCCATACAACCATGCGTATTTGAAAATTATTCTCTCTTTAGGGACTTAATCTAAGATTAGATTGATGATAATTTGTATAACCCACTTAAAACGATTCTTTGATTTGCCATATAAGGATAATGTGCACGTGGTCGTTGCTACATACTATATAGTAAATAAACTATTCCCCAATGGAAAAATATATAAGCTCACAGTGTTGGTTTATATTGAACATTGTAAATTGCACGACACTCCAACTCGACCGATATACAGACAGCATAGATTATAATTGCACTTGCAAACGAACAAACATGTATTAGAAATGAAAGGTTTTTTTATGTTGTCATGTTTTTTTTTTTCTGATTCTTTGGAGAAGAGATTAATGTGTAACAATTATGACAATATTTACAACAGAAATAAATCTGACTATTCACGTAAGGGATTACTAAGAAGATTGCATGTTTATATTAAACCTCATTATAAAACCGGATTATTTCTAATTAATCTCACAATACTAGGAGAAAATAATATGTTAAATACTCATGACTAACATTATATTTAGACACATTATTTGAAGAGCGTGGAGTAGCGCAAGATTCTAATGGACGGCACACAAGACACGTCTCATCACGCTCGAAGCATTTTTTACATTAAAGCGGGGG